AAAATTAGAATTATAATTCAAAGGTAATTCTAGGAAGAGAAAATTTTTGGTACCCAATTATGATATAAAATACAGAATTATGAAAATTGCTTAATCACATGCTTAGAAATAATGATCATCGTGAAAGCCATTAGTAAAGTATAGAACAAACAATTGCAGAGAATTTTATTATCTGTCTTGACTCTTGAGAACCCCTAGCCCTAATCTCTGTGAATGAGGACTTTCGGGCTGGGCCCTACACATAGCCTGGACACCCCAAACCTTCCTACTGTTTCGGAAAATGCCATCTCAAAGCACACATCTCTTTTCCTATAAAAGAACTCATATATTGAATTCAAGAACAGACCATTAAACAGACAAAACAAAGTCTTGGGCAAAGTGCTTTCAGGACACAGTCTTTAGCCAAAGACATTCAACTTGCAACTTCAAAACTGTATCAAATCGTTTTCCTATTTCAAAATAAGTAGTGTACATATAATCTGCATACCAGAGTCTTGCCAGCAATAACTAAGAGAGGAGGGGGCCATGGAGGTCCTCATGGCTCCCAAGAATCCTACTTCTGAAATCCCACCCCATATTAAAATGTACACACAACCAATACTAAATGCTTATAAGCTGCAGAATTACAAACAACAGTTATCTTGCATAAAGTTTTCATTCTGTGATCCTCTCCAACTGGGCCTTTGTTCCTACCTCTACTGTTGCCACAGCTTTCACCTTGGTCTGGAGTGACTTGAAGAGTCCAGAGAATGACTCTCCAGCCTTTCTACCTTGACCTCTGAGCAACACGTGACACCACTCGCCCACTGTCTCCTCTTGGAGACATTTTCTTTACTTCAGGGGCATCCCCTGCTCTCTTTCTCATAGCTCATTCTAAATTCAAGTCCGCGTCCAGGATTAACCCAGCACAGCAACACAGCAGAAAAACGACTCCGTTCTCTGCCCATGGTGTGGTCAGTGGTGTTAGTGACAATAGTAATACTCAAGGAAGGGCCCACTCCATTGGAAGTATACGTGTCTCTGTGTGTGTATATATGTTCTTTGTTTAGGGCTTCTTAATGCTTCCTTGGACTGAGGTTTAGTTGAATCGTCCTCCCCATCATCCTGTCTTACACGTTAGCACCATGCTTCTTCCTCTCCTGGGGTTCTCTTTCCAGGATCTAGACTCTATGCTGTTGCTCTTCATAGCTGAGACCGGGCACCTGCCACTTTGTACGTCATGTTTGCATGCCTTACCTAGCCCACCCCAGCCCCCTCATTTCTTGAAAGCAAAGACCATATAATTGACTAGTACAAAGAAAGTTTATTTTAGATGTACTAGATTAGCTGCTTCGATTTAGTTTCTATACACAGTGCTCTATAATTACACTGATGCTATAGAACTAGAAAATAGCAGCCTTATGTAAAATCTCTCTCAAATTGTGCTTTCTAGGTGTGTTTTCCCAGTCTTTTGTTACAGCGTTTGCATAATCTCCTTGAGTATTCATTCACTAATACTTAAGTCACCTTCCATGTTCTGTCCTGTTGTATAGGTGTGTGGTGTTTCCAGATAAACGGGTCATTACTGCTAACCCCTTGGGGGAGGGGGCAGAGGTATGCTTTGTCTTTACGGTGAACATTTTCAAAGGCTCAAATTTTTTCATTCATTTGACAGATAATTTGTGAAGTATGGTGCCTGCTCCTGAAATATCTTATTTTCTAGCTACAAAGATAGATTACTTACTTACTTGGTTTTTTCAAGAGAAACGATTTCTCTGCCTGGCCGTAAACCAGGTTGGCTTTGAACTCACAGATCCACTGGCCTCTGCCTCCCAATTTTCTGTTGTTTTTGTTTTAAAGACAAGGTCTCACTGTGTTTCCCTGGCTGGCCTGGAACTCACTAAATATACCAGCTAACCTGGAACTCACAAGTCATCTACCAGCATCTACCTCCCTGAGTTCTAGGACTAAAGGTGTGCACCATGGTCCTGGCCCTTGGAAGGTAGATTTTAAATACTAGAATACGTGATGATTTAGTTTGAAAATTACTGCTGAGAGGTAGACAGCAAACTGGACGGTGGTGGCACATGTGTTTGATTTCGGAAATCGGGAGGCAAAGGCAGGAGGATCTCTGTGAGTTCAAGGCCAGCCTGGTCTACAGAATGAGATCCAGGACAGCCAAGGCTACACAGAGAAACCCTGACTAGAAAAGAAAACAAACAAAACACACACACATACAAACACACACACACAAAAGAAAGAAATCAGATCTCAGAGTGGGTTGCTCTGAGTGTCTGGGAGGGAGGGGCAGAAGTAGGGGATGGGGCAGTGACCAGGCTCTGAGCTCCTCCCCTCCCCCTCTGTTCTTCAACAGCCGACTTTAAAATAATCAGAACATAAAAATAGAGCCTCTAGGAGAAAATTAATGAAGGTGTGATTTATGTAACTTTAAGAACCAGGGGTTGGGGATGTGAATGTTCAAAAAAGGAAAACAATTTTCCAAAGAAATTTCTTTGGCTGCTGTCATTGCAGCAGTCTTAATAATACTTTATGACTCTAGAATTTGTTTGATGATTCACTCTGTTCTGAAAGGCAAATAAAAGACAAAAGGAAACTTAGGCTGAAAATTTAAGACACAGCTAGCTAATTTGGAAAATAGCTTTATTTTATGAAACTATTGACTATTTCAAAGGTATTAACAGTAAAGATGTTTCTCGTTGCTCTCAGAAGGAAGAAATGAAAATAACTGAACATTCCTCCCGCATGAGACGTGGGTAACACTTTTATGTAATGGTTCCATGCTCATAACTGAAAAGTAGCAACATATTCCCGACTGATTTCTTTGGGGAATGATGAGTGCCATGGAAAAGGACTCAGCTGTAAAGTGGGTGATGTATGGAGAGGAAGGCGCACAGCACTCTCCCTATTTACCTAGATTCCACCGCCAAATGGCTCGTGGTTTTCTTCCAAAGAGAGGAGAATTCTCTGCTTAAAGAAACCTGTCTAAATACAGTGTTAAAGTTAACTTTTGCATAGTAAAGTTAAAGTCTGCTTCATGGTGCCAGTTTAAAATCTTTGTTAAGGAATTCAAGGTACTTATAGAAGGAGATTTTTTTTTTTTAATGACAGATATTAGGTAGTGATACTTCAAATAAACCCAAGATTTTAAAATATAACATAAATTTTTTTTCAAGAATAAAATTAAGAAATATTTTCCTTCCCAGAAATGTCGAGTGCCTAGAATTTGCAGCAAATTCTAGTTAAGTTCATTTAAAATCAAGCCTTTCTAATCTCAAGAGTTTATTTTCTAAGCCTGCTTTTATCTTAAATATCTGAAAAAGGACATTTAGATGATTTGTAACTCATGAAATTATTTGCTTTTAGAGGTGCCTAGAGAAACATTACAAGAGAAAATTTCCATGAAGTCAGAGAGTAAAACCAGAAAGCTAATGGAAGTGACCCAAAATAGAGCATAAAAATCCCTTTAATAAACAGTCCATGTGCCCGTTAACTAGGACTGCTTCCTGAGAAGCAGTGTGGGGAGCATGGGAATCAGAGCGATAGAGACGGAGATCTAAATATAACGTATAATCTGTTTTCTGTTGAATGGACTTTGAAGTAATGTTTTAAGTTGCCTAAGAGATTGGAAAGGCTGTGAAATTTTGTTTGAGGGCGCAGCCTCAGGTCAGCCAGGCTGCCTTTGGGGGGCACTCCAGTCCTGTGATGGTGGCTCCTGTGTGTGTTTTCTGGTATTGGGAGGTCTGTGTGGCTGTGCAGGTAGGCAGCAAGCACCTTGACTACAGGTAGCTGCTCCTGTGCTCCCCTTTTGACCCTGTCCTTGCCACCTGGAAAGAGTTGTTGACCCGTGTCCAGCAGTGTCCCCACTCTATTCCTTCCGAGCAGTGTGGGGTCATTTAGCTGGCACATCACTGTGTGACCTAAGGACCCATAAGTGGAAAAAGAAAAAAAAAAAAAAAAAGAAACCAAATGACTACAGGGTGTGTGTTCTATCCTAAGTCTGACGTATTTCAGCTCTTAATATTTGCATTTGCATTGAAAAAAATAGAAATTTTGTTCCCTCGATAGTCAAAAGGCCCCAAGTAGAGGCTGAGCTTTTACGATTACCAATAGAGGATAGCAATAGAAATTATAATTTCTCAAAGTGAGATTGCGTATCTTGAAATGCCTGAGAGTGGGGATGTTGTGTGACAAAATCAAAGTTCCAGTACCACCAAAGCTCAACTTTAAGGACTGTTGCTCTTTTCCTATCACCAAGTACCTTGTTTGACAAAATAATTGCAGTAGTTTAAAAATGTGGCACAGCAGTTTTATTCCTCTCCCTATTTTACTATCTTATTTATTTTTTCATTCATTCATTCATTCATTCATTCATTCATTCATTCATTTATTTTAGATAGGTTCTCCTTGGCTGTCCTGAAAGCACCACTCTACTTAAATGAGGCTAGCCTCTAACTTGGCACAATCGTGCCTCAACCTCCCAAGTAGTCTTTGATACCTTAAAACTTCAAATTTAGTTTCTGCCAGATCCTAGCAGCTTACTTCTTCAGTTCATGTTGATTTTTCCAGAGAGAAGTTTTATTGTAGTCTAACTGAAGTGCGTCTTTTCATACATGTTCTACTTTCCATAATGGCTTCAACTTGACACAGAATTCCACGAAAGGCAAAGTTGTGTGTAAAGTTTTACACCGTGGATCCATTGTCGAATGCAGCTATTACCTCCTTACTTTATTGAACTGGCTAAAAAAGGAATCTAAAATGAAAAGTGTTTTGAAATGATTACACATTATACATTTCAGGATTAGACATTAAGTTGAGGAACTTGATCTCCTCTTTACAGTGCCATAATTTAACAACTGGAATGCAGAAGGCTGTGAAGCCCATGAGATAATTTGCCGTTTTGCGGAAGCATTTATACCACATACCTTCTATGAGACATTCGCTCTCAGATCACTTTGAAAATGAAAGCATGGATGCCTTGCCTCAACACTTGTTTGTGTGCCAGAGATTTTGCTGAAATTCAAAGGTGAGCAGGGCCTGAGCTTAGCACGGGTCGACCAGAAAGACAGAGGAAAGCTTGCTTACACGATGCTCCATACAGCTGCGCTCCTGTTGTTGTTTGACAAGAAATTATCTTTCATCTGTTCGGAATTCTTACTCAGCGATAACTTTGAGTCTTTGTTTATGAAGTAGCCTTGACATTTTTTTTTTTTTTTTTTTTTTTTGTCTCACTTACCAAATCACCATGACTTCCTGCGTTTCAGTTCTAAGGTTGAGTCTAAGCTCCAGGTTTAAAACAAAGCCATGGGTTTACCAGTTGAGCCTATTTTACATTGTATTCATTCATACATTTCACATATAACAAGAGGTAGGAGGTACTAACTGCCGCTTAACATACAAGCACTAGTGGAGATGTAGATTCACTTTTAAACGCTTTAACTTTCCTACGACAGATTACATGTATGAAAAATAATGTTGACAAATTTTAAGTGGTAGCTGGGTTTTGGCAAATGTATTTTTCTCATGTAGCCACCAAAACAACTAAAATAGAGAAAGTCCTTAATGCTTTAAATTAAGCTATGCCAGTAGCTCCTTTTGCCTTCTGTGGGAGCACTCAGTTATGGCTACTCTTCCATTCCCCTGCTGATGAGGGATATTTGGCCCATTCCATTTGGGAGCCATGATAAAGTTACCACGACTATCCACATTCTTTTTCTTAGTTGCGTGGTATATAAACGTGTACCTGTAATAGAAACTGTCCAGTTGTTTTTCCAAAGTGCCTCGTGCCGTTTCAAGGTTCTATCAGCAATGGCCAAGGGTTCTTGCTGCAAATTCTCCCCGAGTCTTGGTACTGTCAGTCTCTTCAGTTTTAGGTGTATGTCGGGTAACTTGCCATGGCTTTTACTCGTTGTTTCCCTAATGACTAATGATCTCAAGCATCATTTCAAGTGCTTATTTGTCCTTTTCACGTATTCGCTGAAATAACTATTCAGATTCATTGGCCATATTTTTTTAAGGTTGTAGGTTTTGTTTAGTTACATGAGCAATTAATATTATTTATGTCTTCTAGGCCTGTTTTGAAGCAGGTGTTTAATTTTTTTTTTTCCAGTTTTAGGGTTTCTTCATCTTTAAGGTCACTTTCAAAGGGCAGAGTTCTGTGAAGATTTTGTTGTTGTCTTTTGGGTTTTGTTGTTGTTTTTTGGTGTCTTAAGAATGTGACAAAGACCTGTACGTTTCCTGTAAGTTCCAGGAATTTATCTTTTTAAATTTAAATCTACAACTCATCAGAAGTTAGCTTTTGTATAAGGACAATGGTAATTTTTTCCATGCAGTTAGGTCTAATAGTTTCAATACTGTTTGATAAAAACGTATTCTCCATTGAATTACTTTGAGCACTTTTGTCAAAAGTCAGAAAGCTTTATATAGGACTTATTCCCGCAGTCTTTATTCCATTGGCTGTTTCTGGTTTTGTTCAGTTCCGCTGAACTATATACCTGTCCTTAGGCCTATATTATATTGCTTTGCTGATTGTATCTTTCATTAAAAAAAAAAAAAAATCGGTGAATAAGCTAGTAAGACCTGCTTTGTTGTCTTCAAAATTATTTTCCCTAATTTTGCATCCACTTGCATCCACACTACAAGGTTTTAAAACTTTATTTTGAAATAATTTGAGACCCACAATAAATTCTAAAAGTTCCATTGTGGAGCCCTTTGATAGCCCCCTCCCCCCCCCCCTTACTTAGAGAAAAAGAAATTGTATGTGCTTTCAAAACCAGGAGCTTGACATTGGCATAATACTATCAGTTATGCTATACACTGTGTTTCTTGTCCTGGATTTTTGGGTTTGATTTTGATTCATGGAGACAGGGTTTTGGTTTTGGTTTTGGTTTTGGTTTGGTTTGGTTTGGTTTAAATAGCTCTGGCTGTCTTGGAACTTGCTCTGTAGACCAGGCTAGCCTCGAACTCAGAGATCTAACTGTCTCTCTCTCCCAAATGCTGGGATTAAAGGCATGAGCCCCTGTGTCCGGCTTCATCTTTGTCCTTTATAGCTTGCTGGAGTCAATACACCAGATTTTATTAAGGATTTCTGTTAAGTATGTGCATGAAAGACATTGGTCACTTTGTTTTTCTTATAATGACAAGGTTTGAGGAAATGCTGGTCTCATAAAAATAATTGGGAAATGGTTCTCTTTAATTTCCTGAAATTTTTTGTATAGAATTGGCTCCCCCTGCCCCCTTAAACATCGATGATAGTTGTAGGGACAGCGTCTGCTCTTGGCGTTTTCTTTGTCAGGCTTTCCTAGAACTTTGATCTGTGTGGTAGATAGCGGTGTACCCAGCCTCTTTCTCCAGTGAGCTCCGATGATTAGTGTCTGATGAAACACTGAACATTTCAACTAGGCTGTTGAACCTGTCAAATTAAATTGTTCACAAAACTGTCCCAGTTGCCAGATTTTTAGTCTGGACTCTAGTGTAGCATGGCCGCTACCGTTTGATCCAACTCTGAAGGTTTGCTTTGAAGCTTATGAGGTATTTTGAGAGTTGCCTTCAGACCACAGCCATTTCAGATACTTGCTATGGGAGGGCCTTCAGAGCTGGCCATCTGTTACCACACGTGCTGGAGGGCTGTTCTCCCTGGCTAATGGGAAAGAGAGCCATTCCCAGACCCCATGAACTGTGGGGTTTCTTGGCCCATTGCTCTCTGAGGATTGTGTCTGGCTTTGCAGGACATTTTTTTCCCCACACAGGCACCAGTCAGTACTTGGCCAGTGATCTCCAGCATACCCCCACCCCAAATCTTTGGCCCTCACTTTGTTCCTCTACCTCCTCTTCAGTGTTCTCGGCAGCCCCAAGCCAGCTGCCTCTACTGCTGCAACTCACATCTCAGTCTTCTCGTCTTGGTGAAATCAGCATGAACTAGGAATTTCTAGATACGGTGGTTTTGTGTTTTTTTTTTGTTTTGTTTTGTTTTTGTTTCAGACCTTTAAAACTCCTCAAACTGGAAGAAATACTCATGAAAACATGGAAAGCAGAACATTCAGAGGAGTTCCATGCATCATTTTGTGCTCGGGCTGATTCTGAAGCATGGTTGCAGCGAGTACTCCTCTGCCAGTAGAAATCTGTTTATAGATCACCCAGAGTAGACCAGTGGCACAGTTACCAGGGTCAGGCCGAAATGAAGAGCTCTGCCGCCAATGGCTCATCACTAATGTTGATAACCTAGAGTGCAGGTATCCTTTCTAGTTTCTATGCGCTGCAGCTTGGGAAACTGCCATCCTTTACTTCAGGGGGAATCATGTCCAAACTCAATTGGAAATGGCTTTTGATGGAATGATTTGTCCGGGGAGGTTTCAGGAACCTCTGATTATTGAGACCTGTATCGAAGGTGAAATGACACCAGGTAACATTTTGCAGTTTTTATATGTGAGAACAAATTCTTACCCAGCTCTCCATAGTAGAAATCTCACCATCACAGGTAGCATGCTTTCTTAACTCATTTCCCATCCCCAGCTGTGCCAGCATTTGAACTTGTGGCCCAACATAAGCCCTACCCAGTCTAGACACTCAAATATTTTCCTTTTAATTTTTTAAGTAATTTGTGCTGTGTATGTAAGAGAATGGGAGTAGATTTCAGGAGTGGGTTCTCTCACTCCCGGTGGGATGCTGGGATTGTGCCTGAAGCTCTTTTACCCACTGAGTCATCTCACTAGATCAAGAATACTTTTTTTTTTCTTTTCCTTTTTTCCCTCTTTCTTTCTTTCTTTCTTTTTTTTTAATTTTAGGTTCTTTTGAGACAGGAGACAGGTTCTTACTATGTAGATCTGGCTGTCCTAGAATTAATTATGTAGACCAGAGCGGCTTTAAGCTCAGAAAGATCTGCCTGCCGAGTGCTGGAGTAAAGGCGAGCAGCACAGTGCTGGCAAGATGCATACTTTTAAATAAAACATTTGCGTGGCTGTGCTTGTGGCCACAGCTGAGGTGAGTCTGAGGCTACCAGCAGCAGGTAGGCTTGCCCCGGTTAGGGTGAGGGAGTTGATAGAGTGGCAGCTGCCCCGCCGGTGTTGGGCATTGGGCCTGATGTGAGTGAGTGACAGCTGGCCACAGGTAAGCCGCCCATCCAGTTTGCCGAGGCTGAAAGTCCCCGGCTCATCCCAGGAATAGTTGCTTTTCCGGTGTGGTCACAGTCTTAGGGAAAAGGTACAGAGCAGAGGTGGGGTAGTTTCTGGTTTTGTTTGGCTTGGGCCTTTTTAAAAACTGTAACCTTCAAGCTCGAGGTATGGTTCCATTTTTCACGGGAGATTACCCATCTTAGTGTAGGGTAAGGTGTAATTCCGGCTTCCTTCCTCCACACCCTTTGAAAACTAGACACTAAGTCTCTGAGAGCATCAGCGGGTGACTGCTGTAAGAAGGAATGTGCAGGGTATCGCAGGACCAGACATCCAGCGGCAGGTGGGTCAGCCCGAGGTAACCTGACTAGGTTGGTGACTCGCTTTTGCAGTATGTCAGCCTCATATACTGCAGGGCACAGAGGTCCAGCACAGGGCTCAATTTCCCTCCCCCTTAGAAGGCATGGATAATAATTGTGTTGGCCTTACTTTGTATCTTATTTCAAGACCCCCGTGAGAAGAGTTTTAGAAGTAAGACTTGTGAATGAGTGGGGTGTAGACGGGGGGCCAGAATGTTACCCCACAGGTAAGTGTCCTTCAAAAGTAACATTCCAGCTGCTGAGCCTGGCAGGTTTATGGCTGTTACTTTTCAGAAGGGAGTAAGCTAAAGGAACGAAACCCTGGGGCTACTGGGTAAATGAGACCACTTCAGGGTAAAGATTGCCTGAGGAACAAACGTAAGGGCCATAGCTGTGGCTTCACACCATCTCCCAGCAGTCACGCCAACAGTGGCACAAACCATGTGATCTCCACAGAGCAGACTGGCTCATGGATTTAGTGACATTTTAGGGACTGTTGACCAAGTCTGGGCTGGGCTGGGGCAGACTTTTTTTTTTTTTTTAATGTGTCCGGTAGAGAA